TCAGAAAGTCGGGACCCGAAACAAGAAGACTGAAAACAGTTGAAACATATTTAAATAAAGTTATACCTGATGAAGAGAAATCAGACGATTATGCAGAAGATTATCCACCAATCATACAAGAAATAGACGAATTCGATGATATGGTGGCATCTGGTCAAGGTATAACGTTTTTATCCGACGACAATAAAGAATAGCTTAATAGATTAGAAATAATATTAGCAGCCATGAAGGAAGGTCATCGATCGGACAGACAATACAACGAAGTCAATGCCATATTAAAACGACTTTTGGAGAAAGAAATCATCACTAAAAAAGACTATATAAACGTCATTAAAAATGTCCAATAAAGAACAATTGTTCGTTATCACCTCGAATAAACCAGACATCAAATTGTCTCTAGACTACGAGTTTGAACTCGATCGCAATAAACAGTACGAACTGGGATTAAAGTATTTCTCCGTTTACAATTCCATTAGAAACATCAACGAAAAAAACAATCAACTAAAAATATCGACGGATAACGGAGTTACGTTCGAAACCATAAGCTTACTACCGGGGAGCTACGAATACGTAGCCATCAACGATTACCTATCCGAATACGCAGGAAGCGTGAACGGCAAAAACAATATCGAATTCGAAGGTAATTTGAATCTGAACAAAAGAAAACTGATCTTGAGAAATAACAGTCAAGTCGATTTCAACGTAGAAAATTCGTTGAATGCGTTACTAGGGTTCGATAAACGAATATACGCGCAATCGACATTGGCGCCGCACAAGGCCAACATCGAGAACGACATCGACGTGATCAACATTCAGTGTAATTTGATCAACGGTGGATTTTTCAACAAGCACAAACGCCAAATCTCATATAGCATACCGACTTTTACGGTGCCGATTGGATACAGAATTATAGAGAAACCGTTTCAAACGACCTATTTACCAGTCAATTCTTTCATGATCAAAGATATAAATCTGGAAATCAAAGACGGTAAAAACAGGTTCATAGACTTTGGCAACGAAGAAATTGTCATTCAACTTCATTTAAAACAATCTTCATTCTCTTCTTGATTAGAAAGATAATCGAAATCATCAAATTCATAGTTTTCGTCAAAACTATACTCATCTTTGTCATTGTAAGGATACATAATTCCTTCACTGTTTGGTGGTTTTCTTTTAACATTATTCAAATAACTTCTAAAAACTTTAGTTTGTTTATCATTTGGAATAACTACTCCATTGGTGAAACTTTTTTCCCACGGTTTATTAAATTCGTTCGACACATCATGTCCGCTTGCTAACTGAACGTAATCTTCTACACTTAGCTTATCATTAGAATAACCTTTAAACGTTTTCTTTTCTTTTAAGACACCATCAGAAGTCAAAACGATGTTGTATTTGACTTTTGGTGCTAAATATAAACCAAATATAATTCCACCGTCACCGTAATCATTTTTACCTTTGCAATAGTCTTTTTCGGAGACCAAACCAGCTCTGTTTAGTTTTTTCCAATTTTTGGATGAAATGTACAATTTATCGGTGTCGGTATAGTAAATTTCGGGTTTATAAAATCCATTTATGACGTGAATGAAATTGTTCATTATTTTTTTACTGTGAGATAAAACAAATGATCCCAAATGACTAGGTGTTAGTCGTGTAGATTTACTATCTTCGGTAGTAATCTCTTTTTCTTCAATTTCTGTTTCAACAATATATTGAGTATCATTAATTTTCTCATAGGTTTTAACGCGTGAATCAAAGTTGGCCTGTAAAGTTGCTTCATTCCATAAATGTCTAGTTGTGAATATATCTTTCTGAATTGATTTACCATACAAGGAATTACCTAATAATTTCATGCAATTACTACCCACGATATTACCTTCTCGTTTATATTTATTTCTTAAATCTCTCAAAATTAAAATATAATCTCTATAGGGTGGAGTTTTAAAATTTTCTTCGTAAACTATACCATCTAATATTCTAATAATTCGTCCACCGGCTTTCACTATTTCTTGAATATCGACCGATGTTAAAACGTCGTGACAGAAACCATTTCTGAACCTGATTTTGTTACCAGTTTCCTTTTTATCTTCTTTATTCGTGAAAGTGATTTTATCTTTAGCTGGTATCGGTTGGAAGAACATGTTTTTGGGATAGTCAAACCACACTATTAAAATAGCTGTTCTAGGTCTGAATTTTTGTTTATTGAAGAGTTTTACAAATTCTTTTTCTTCTTCTGGTAGAAACGGTCTTCCACTTTTGGCTCTCAGATATTCACTGTCTAAATCCGACATGGCGGAAGCGTATAAACCGTTAGCATCAAATGCCATTAGTTTAGTACATTCTATTTTTTTAAGTCTCAAATGAACTTCCGTTTTGTCTTTTGTGCTTGCGCTGTATTCTTTGAATAAATCAATTATGTTATTATTTTCACTTTGTGAAATATATTCCTTTAATACGTTACAAATTTCATCCATTTTGTTCGTTTCAAATGATTTTCTATTTGCCGAAACTCTTCCTCCTTTAATAGATCGTCTGATGAAATTTCTTATAAAAGGATTTGTGTGCGAATAAACTTTTTCTATATTTTCTTTTTCGGTATGTTTCGCAACCATTCTAGTAGTTTCATACCATTCTTCTTCCACCATTTCTTTATCGTAATGATATAAATAATACCAAGCCTTTAAAGATAAAGATGGAGCCGTTAGATTATTGGACATATTCTGGTTTACAACTTCTTTCGTCACTTGGTTGTATTTTATCAAACAAGCTCCCAAACAGAGAGTGTCTCTCTTGGCGTAAGGTTCCCATTCATGTCTCAATTCCTCCCAGTAGTCTTGCGTGTATTTAGCAATATCTAAGTCGGCAAGCTATCTCAAATTCGCAGGAAGATTGGAAGAATTTCCCCATGCAGCCAAACTAGAGGATTCGTGTTGATAGGAACACGTGAAATTAATATGTTGTAAATAATTACCCTTTATTTCTTTCTGTCTTTTGCATTTTTTCTGTAAATCTTCATCCGTGTATGGATTAGATAAAGGAAAAGATAGAATTCCTCTGGGTGTTTTTAAAGGGCAATGCGTTAGTTTTTTTGCATTTTTAAGCACGATCCAGTTGTTGAATCCACTGCCGTTATGAGAAATTAATATTAATCTCTTTCTATCATATTGACCTAAATATTTCAACATTTGATCTATACAGTCTAGACCCACAAATAGTTCTACCATATTAGTCATGAGTTTGTTGTAAAATTCTTCTGGAATGGGATCTGACGGCTTTAAATCTGGAAAGAGATTATTTATTCTGTTTAACATTTCCTTAGTTTTTCTAAATTAATTAAAGTGCAGGCATAAGGAATTGCTCTTCGCGTGTCTTTTTCTGAATACGTTTCGCAATCCCAAGCGAATAACGCATTATCACTCATACTCGAAAGCACGTTTAGTTTGAGGGGTGAAACCTGTGTTACTGCGTTGTCGTCTCTACACGTTTTCCACACCTGTTCGTAATTGCCTTCTATTTCTTGAATTCCCAAACTTTTTTGGCTTCTTCTAATCAAACAGAAATGCCAGTTGTGTAAGTACAAAACCCAATCTAATTCATCGTGAACGTCTCTGGGGTGAAAATGTCTGTTTTTGGGATTATAAATTTGAAACGAAGTGTTAAATTTCTTGTTGAATTCATTCATTCTAGCACAAGTCATCACTCCTTTTCTATTTGCTTTTGAAAACCCGTTGATGTATTCTTGAAATTTACACGTTAAATCTTTGTTCAAAACACGATTGACGCATTTCATAAAACAGTGACCATCTGTAGATATGTAACAATTTTCGCCTTCGTATTCATTGATCTTTTTTAGTAGATCAGTTCCTCCTCTACCAACTCTCGCTCTTTTTATTTCTTGGAAATTGTCTTTCATTAAAATTATTTTTCCTGTAAAATACCAATCGGAAGCATCGGATTTTTTGTCCATATTTGAAAAGATATTGTGAAAAGTTTTGGCATTGAAACCGAGGAGTGACATGTATTGTCTGTAATTCCCTTCCTCGACTATCTCTCCATCTATTTTAATTTGTCCTTTGAATGTTATAAATTTATCAGAGATAGCCTTGATAACATCGGAAAAAAGGGCGTTTTCTATCAATGTTTCATCAAGTTCGATTTTATTCATATTTTTTTAAGTGTATATTTTTGATTATTTCTTTATTTTGACCGCTGATATTTCTGTATGGTTTTTATCCAAAATTTCATTGAATTCTTGTAATTCTTCAACTGTTATGTTCTTGTCTTCTCTCGATCTTTCGAAAAAGATGTACAATTGATTAAGATACGTATTCAAGATATCCGTTTTCTTTTTATAATGAGCTTTCTTTTTGCTCGTGAAACCTAAAGTGATGAGACTGCAAGAGGTCGTTTGAACGGCTGTTAATGCAGCCAATACGGTTGGGACGATGACCGGAAGCATTAATCCACCAGTCACGGCCGTTGCCACCGTTACTCCTACCGTTAGAACTGTGCTCGCTGTTTTGAAAAAAGAATCGATTCTACTCCATGTTTTCCTGCATGAATTGTACTGTCTCAACTTTATTTTCAACTTTTCTTGTTTGTCTATCATGTATTGTTGTCTGCTTTCGAGTTCCATTTTTAAGTCGTTAAATTAAGTGAATTTCCAATAAATGGAACCACGGAATATCGTATAGAGCCTCCTTGTTTGGCCTAGCATTATTATATTTGCGGGTATTAAAAGTAAAAAAAATTTCGCGTACTAACGAAATTTCTTTTTTCGTATGGTCCTCTTTAAGATGATAGGAATATTTTATTTTTACTTTTTCGATGTTTATCTTGGCTCTAGAAATAAAACCACCACCTTCAAGGATGGAGTCAGAACCTTCGGCAAACGATAAATGTACTATAAACTCTCTTTCTTGTTGACTTTTATGAACATCGATCGAGGTGTATTTTCCATCGTAAACAAAATACAGTTTTACGTATTCAAAGTCTGTTGTTCATAAAAACTCGTGACTGCTCGATTCTATTGGTTCGGGTACGTATACGGGCATTATAAATGGAATTTTGACAATGTTGGTTAATGGTGGATTTTCCGTCTCCAATATCATATCCAAATCTTTGATTCCAATGATATCCTTATCATTTTCTACTTCCATTTTAAAGGTGTCTACATATTTACCATTTCTCGTTTCAATTTCCTGATCCCTTTTATCAATCAAACGTATATTCTCTTCCAAATTACCATCATTGAATAATGAAATATGTTTGACGCCCTTACCGGTTTGTTTGAAGACTACTTTATTGACTTTAACCTTCATGGGAAACTCTATTTGAATCAGACAATTACCTCGAAAAGTAAACGCTTCTGTTTCGCCAATATCGAATACGTTTTTAGGTTCTCCGTATGCGAGAGTACCTACTTTTATTTCTGCTTTGAATCCGTATTTGTTTGATTTATAAATTTGGTCTTTTCTATCGAAGACAGTGTCACTTTCGAATGGAAGATTGAAATAATACGATTTGTCCGTGACAATAGCTTCTAATTTGCTCAACTTTCTCTCTTGTCTCAAAAAATCGTCATGAATTTTAGATACCAAAAGATTGACCTGTTCTTTAATATAATTTTTCATATCATCTCGAAATTTATTTTGAAGAAAGTTTTTAATCACACCCACTTCTTTTTCTAATTCGTCCGTGATTTTAGTATCGTTTCAACGTATCTTTGTCAATGGGAAGTGTGTTAATTATATCTTGAACATCTGATTTTTGCTTCGCGATTTTTTCGTTCAAATTGGATATCGAATTTTGTAACTCGGTTTTGTCTGCGGTCTTGTCTACTTCTGCTAGCAATTCGCCAAGTTTTCTTTCCAAAGCGGTTAGTTTTCGTTTCAATCTATCCTCGTTTACATTTGGGTTGTCTATTAAACGTTGGACGTCTATTTTTACCTTCGTAATCTTATCGTCTAATTTAGATATTAAATTTTGCAACTGACTTGTTTTATCCACTTGAATAAGATGTTTCAAACTCGTTAACTCTTGTTGTAGTTTGGGTTCGTCCACAAGATTTTTAATATTTCGTCTGATGAATCTTTTCACGTCATTTATTCTATTTTCAACATGGTCCTTATCTATTTGAATTGCGTTTATTTGATCCAGTAAATATTTCTTGTTCACGGCATCGTTATCATTTCCTGGAAACTTTAAATTAGTTATTTTGAAATTGTTCATATCGATATCCCCTTGTAAGGTGTCTCCGATTTGATCCACGAAAAAAGGTTTTGCTTTGTTTATAAACGCCGTAGAACTCATGGGATTTTTAGATTCTAGAGGTAAAGACCCTAATCCAAACTTGTTTGCCATTTTTATTGAGTTAAATTTATTATAATTTCTTCAAACTTTTCTCCCAAACTCAACCGATATAAAACCCAAAGCGACAGCTGTCCACACAGCTTTTGTCCTGGCATTTGAATTTGAAACGTAGAACATTTGATTGGTTTGCTAGTTAATTTCGTTATCTCTTCTGTCGGTTCTAGACCGAAAGAATCAAAGAAATAAAAGTTATTCGAAGAATCTTTGTGTAAAGCAGAGTGATGAACTCCTTTTTGATCCGACGTGTGAATGTTTGTGATGGCGTAAAATTTACCTTTCTTGTATTTCAGTTCATCAATTTCATCTCGCATGCAATAATAAAACGGCGAGACGTTCAATTCCTTGGCCCATTTCACAAGTTGAAAATTTGTGGTCGTGTCTTTTCCGTATTTATCGAGAAATGCATTCATTTTTTAAGTCGATTTTTTTTAGGTGTTTTTCGAAGTAGGCGGTAAGTATTGCTGAAGACCCAATTGACGAAATATATACGTAGTTTGTGTTCGAAAAAACTTGTATAACATTCTGATAAAACACATTCAATAATATTTTGAAGATAAATTTACATTTAAATTTAAAAAATCTTAATTTAAGAGAGCGTAAATGCTTGTCGACATCTAAATTTCTTAACCTTTCATCTAAATCTTCATTTTCGAGATTCATTTTTAAAAGTCAGTTTTTTGAAGTTCATTTTGATAAAACCTTCCTATGATTTGTTCTTTGTCTTGATCGATCAATTCATACGTGGGAGGTGATGTGTTGTTTACTTTATCAACGATGAATATCTCGTTAGTCCAATAGCCGACGTAACCTTTCTGAAACAATGATTTATATTCAAAAATACGAACTCGATCTCCAACTTTGAATTTGGGTTTAATATTCAAATTGCTAATCTCGTTTTCAAAGTTGTTTCGAGTGTTGACGGACTTTATGTTATTCGGGTTATTAGAGGCTTGGGATGGCGTCACACCTATAGACGAATGTATTTTGTTATTGTATTCGTCGACAACAACCGGTAATATTTTAAGCCATTTTTGAGATTTCAATTCCGTGAATTTCTTGAATAATTTGCTTTAAGAGTCCTGTTGAATCTTTCTATCACTACGGCTTTACCTTCGTTATGCGTGCTGTAAATATCAAACCCCAGAGATTTCACATTTCTGTTGTAGAATTCGCTTCCTTTATCAACCCACAATTTTAGGGGTCGTCTGTCGGATTGTTTCATTATGGTTTCGAATGCTTGTTTGACAGTCAGACCCGATTTGTTTTTCAAGGGAAAGACCCAAGCGTATCTCGTGTATATGTTGATCACCGTCAAACAATACTTGTACACTCTCTCGACTGGCATGTTGATTAAATCGGCTGACCAAATTTCATCTTTATCAAAAACTTTGACTTTGAGGTAATGTTTGTTTTTTCGAAATTCTTTGTGAATCTCGTCTGCTATGCCCATACCCAATTTCAATTTTGCCTTCAAGAGTTTTATGATAAGAGCCCTCTGTAATTTCTCTTTGAAAGTGGGATTGGGAATATTTTTGAATTCGTCTATCATTTTTTTCTGCTTGGTGTCTGAATGTTACGTCTTTGTTTCTGTACAGTATGTCATGTTTGAGCGCTGCTGCGTCAACTCTATTAACGGGTTCTTCCCCTGGTTTGGGAATATCATTTTCGTCTAAACGCTCAATTCATGAGATAATTGTATGCAAAGTTCCATTTTGAACAAAGGTATACTTTGCGAGTTATGCTCCTGGCCAAAAATATCAATAATGAGTAATATTACCCGGATGTGCCACGCCCACCTAAATTTTTTTGAATAGGGTAATTGATATTCCAAATGTTATGTTGTGTTTCAAATTTCAAGCTTCTACATTATTCAGGTCAAAAGATATAGGTCAACAAATGTCAATAAAGGTCAAAATCGAAAAATGAAAATATCCAAATGTTAAAACCCGTTCCTTTTTTGGAACTATAAAGCTGAAACAACTGAGCTGTTAACACAAACTGGCCAAAAGGATGAGGTAATTGTGTGCAATTCCTTTTTGAACAAACGTATCCTATGCGAGTTATGCCCCAGCCGCAAAATGTAAACAATTAGTACAGTAATTCAACCCGGATGTGTCACGCCCACCCCAATTTTTGGGTCATAGATAAATTCATATTCAAAGCGTCTAGTTGTATTCCAAATATCAAGGTTCTACATAAAATAGATCATAAGATATACATACGCCAAGATCAAAAAGACGCAAATATAGTAAAAAAAAACCTCAAATTTGAAAAAATCACTAATTTCAATTTTGCTTTAAAAAAGCAATTGTTCTATATCTATGTAAAGTGCATGAGAAGCACATTAGGAAACCGAAAAAATTAACCCTCTAGGTTAATTAGGTCACGTGCTAGAGCAGTCCAAAGTTGCGAATTTGGCCTTTTACGGATAGCTATAAAACCGGAAGTACATGTCGGAGGTCAAAGGTCAAAGTATCAAATGATAGCCAAGGTCAATGACCATTGACTCTATGAAGGTCAAGGACATCAAAGGTCAAGGTCACAAGAAATAAGCTTTCAAACTTTGAAAAAATTCAACCGGAAGTTGCGAAAATGCAAAAGCAAAATTCAAAAATCGCCTCGCAATGTTTTGTGAACATTAGACAGCAGATTACATCGACACCAAATTTATGCAGATTTAGTTTATCCCTAAGGACTTATTTCGATTTTAAGAAAATTAGAACATCAAGTTATTCGACCGGAAGTAGATTGTACTTTCAATTGATTCCACCTTCAAAACCGGAAGTGACGTCAAAACTCTGACTGTATCATATCATTGACTTTATTGCTGTAAATAAGAAAGTTGGTAATGCGCATGCGCACTACGCAAATTCGATAATTCCATCAAATTTAGAATTTGATTATACACATACATACCAAGTTTGATGAAAATCGGATAGTAAATAAGAAAGTTGGCAACGCGCATGCGCACTACGCAAATTCGATATTTCTATCAAATTTAGAATTTGATTATACACATACATACCAAGTTTGATGAAAATCGGATAGTAGATAAGAAAGTTGGCAATGCTCATGCGCACTATGCAAATTCGATAATTCCATCAAATTTAGAATTTAATTATACACATACATACCAAGTTTGATGAAAATCGGATAAGAAATGAGAAAGTTGGTAAATTAAGTGGAGGTATACCTTCAATATGCTGCCGTGAGCTTAAACTAAAATATGACATGATTCAATCCACCTGAGAGCTTAATTTTATACCATAACTGGACAAAGATAATTTCTAAGAAATATAAAAGGCAGGGTATCTTTAAAACAACTTAAAATTTGATTTCTGTTGGGTTTGACAGCCAGGTTAATCTAATTAGCCGATTTATCTAATAATAACCCCATGTTAAGTGAATGGAGTTTTGAATTTGCATGTAAGGTATGCATGTTATATATCTATGGAAAGCTGAGAATCTCTACATTACAAAATCGAAAGAATTATTGCCATATCTCTATTAGGGACCGAGATAGAGCACTTTAAAGGCTCAAAATGGTCCATATTTAGACCCCTGTAAAATCGGAAATAGGTATCTGACCCCAGAGGTCAAAAGGTCATCAGATAGACAAGGTCACAAATTATCATCACAGTAAATATGAAGGTCATCAAAGGTCAAGGTCATGAGATATACGCCTTCAAACTTTGAAAAAAACAATCCGGTCGTACAAAAAAGGCAAAACCGAAAATCAAAATTATGCTGCCTAAGGATTGTAGACAGACATCAAATGTTATGCAAATCGGATGAAAAATGGCCTCTGAATAGAAATTTCTGCAAAATGAGGCAAGCCAAAATGGCGGCCAACATGTTACTTCCGGTACGGATTTTTTTTAGTTTAATAAGTTTGTATTAAGGCTGGTAATATAATGCATATGTTATTTTTGACATAACTCGATACCACCGGAAGTACTAACATCGAAACCGGAAGTGATCAAAAAAATTTGAATGTGCACTTTTACGTCTCTATGCTGGCGGTCTACACCACGTAAGTTTCAAGTCAATCCGTCCGACAACAACCGAAATAGTATTTTTCGATTTAATTTCGGCAAAAAAAAGTATGCAACGAATTTTCGAAAAACTAAAATTTTCAACCGCTATCATTTGTCCTTTGTTACAAGAAATACGATGCAGAAAACCCGATCAAAATCGGTTGATAAACACGCCCTCTAGAGTCCATTTTCCGTTTGTTGCAATTTTGCATAATGTTGCTCAGAAAATTTTCGTTTTACATTTAAACTGTGATTAGCCACGAGTTACAAAAACCATGAAGTCAGTTTTCCCGTACCTGTTGCCGTTGCCGAGAAAACCGGCCTGCCGTAGACGAAAAAATAAAAAAAAAAAAAAAAATCAAAGCAGGGCGTTCGTAAGCGAACGCCCTGCAATAAACAGTTAGAAAACAATGCAGGGCGTTCGTTTTACGAAAATATGCAAATTTCAGAATCACAAATGACAATTTAGTTGAAGGAGATGCTGAAGTAGAAAGATGGGGGTTGTGGAAGTGTGTGGTCAAAATGAAGATATTGATTGCAAGTTTTTGATAAACATAGTCCGAAAACTCTGATTTTTGTGATTTTCAGTCATTTCCGACCATTTTCCAAATTTTTTGAAAAATGTTTTTGTATAATCATAATTGGTCTCTACATATCTACCAAGTTTCATAAAAATCTAATAAAATTGATGAAGTTAAAAATTGACCAAAGTACAAAAAGTTAATGACAAAATTTTCGAATCAGGATTTTCTGAAACTGCAGTCTGCTTGGAAGTTCTTTCAAGATTACACAATAAAAAATTGTGGCAAAAAATAAGCATTTAATAGCAGATTTCTGAAATTAAGGAGTTTTCCACTACACCATTTCCGGGTGGAGTCTGATGTCTGGAAATATATATTTAATGGCTATTCCGCAGTCTGGAATGTCTGACCCAAAACCAGTTTTTGCTAGGTA